TTGTTTTGTTTTTTTTGTTTTGTTTTGTACTAGGAATCGAATTCAATACCTTGCACTTGCCAGGCAGGCGCTTGTGCTGCTGAGCTATATCCCCAGCCCTCAAGTTATATTTGGACTAATAAGGGATTTAAAATTTTAAAAATGTTTTGGATTAGGCACTATAACATGTGGGAGAAAAAGAACATCCATGTAGAATAACTGTTGTGGGTGTTACTTATATAGTGAATTATTTCACTAAGTGTGTAAATGAAGATGTCAGTCATCAGAGTTGATTATATCCTGGGTGGTATGATACAGTTTGCCAACCAAATAAAACAAGGGGTGTGTGTGTGTGTGTGTGTGTGTGTGTGTGTGTGTGTGTGTGTGTGATAGATTTAGACCTCAGTAAATGGTATGTAAGCTTATATATCCGTATGTTTCTAATGTTAGAAATTTATTGGCTAATGCCATTGCTGCCTTATACTGATCCCTGTTCTAATAATGTATATGCACAGTTACACTAGAGATCATAAATCAGTTTGTAAAATAATGAACTGTTTCAGTGAGGTAAGATGATTTGCTCTCATTTATCATGGAGTTTTTGAAAGTTTTATGCTGGCAGCTTACAGCTGAAATATACACTGAAATCACTCATTGTTTGATTCTAAAATAGACTTACGGTGGTACATAAGAATACATGAACAATAGGAAAAAATAAAACTTAATGTAAGGATATTTGGCCATGGGAAATACAGTTTGGATAAATATGTAGGTAATGGTAGGACTGATAGCCAGAAGTAGTTTGTATTTTCTGGATGTAAACCACAAATTTGGCCCTAGGCATTTCTAGCGATCAACACAAAGGAAATAGGAGTGTGTACCTGATTCTCAGTACACACAACACGAACTTCTTGATACTGAGACTAGAGGGTAGTGTACATGTTGTAGTGAAAAATGCCTGTCAATATAAACAAATTCTGTGGGCTGTTGTTTATGACACCCCTCAAACTAAGCCAGTGGCATAAAACCAGTGCCCAATTAAGTAAATTCTGTTCCTTAGGGATCTAAATTATTCAGTCTAAATGCATAGCTTTCTGGCCATCCGTCTTAATCCAAGGGTACCTTTTAAAGATTATTGCAGCAGACAGACTGTGCTGCTGCCTTCTGCAGGACTTCTGTTTATTTTAATTGTAGGTCATGGCACAAGGTATTTTTTTATGTTTTTAGGATGGGGATATCTTAAATTGCAGTGTTACACTGTTTAAGTGACAATAGTTAATGGAAATTACATACATTGTGCTTCATATATGTTAATTGCTTTACAAAAAGTGAGCTGATTTGGACCTTCTTAAGTTGGTCCTGTGTGACAGCAGTTTGATTTCAGTTGCTCTTCACCAGTGCTTTTACTCTTTCGTGCTGTTCGGACTTCCTTAGGCACACAGTGTCATCTTCCAATTTGAGCAAATTGAAGAATCTGTGATAAGCCCCTTTTCAGTTTAAGTTCAGTGCTTGTCTTTTCCTTTCTCTTCTCTTTCCACAGCTGTCAGTTAGGAAATGACCATCTCCAAAGTGTATCCTCATGTTCACTTTTCTCTTACATAAGAATCTTGCTCCCTTACTTCATTCAGCTTTCTGTATCCTCTGTCTCTGCTGGCACTTTCCTTTCTACTTTGTGTGTACAGTCAGGTATTCTTTCCTTTCATTGATTAGTAGTGAAGTTTGTTTAGGAGTCAGTATTGATTAGTAAGCAGTAAAAAGTATGGTCTTTGGAGCCAGGTAGACTTAGATTTTACTCTTGCCCTCTCTTAAATTAGCTTTAGTTTTTAAATCTCCTTTTCCAGCTGCTTAAATTTCCACTTAATTGTTTATTGCTTCAATCCTAGTATCTCTGCAGTGTACAGACGTATACGTGTATTATATGTGTATAAGATATGTAATGCACATATACTTTTTTATCCCCCTCTGACCTGACATCAAAGCTGTCTGGTAACATCTTATATATGACTTCAGAAAGGCTGTTGTAATATCTCTGCAGGTATTTGCTCCCTCACCAGGGAAGAGGTTGGAACTAACATCATTTCTTCGCATAGTGCTTTTTTTTATTATTGTTTTTTACATAACATACAGTAAATGTTTTTTGTACTGGATATGACATATTATTTATTTGATGCCCTGTGGTAATTAAACAGCTTGTAATTAAACAGTATGACAAGTTCGTCACTAAGGAATTGCTAGAATCTTAAACAGTGATCACTGTGACGTTAGAATGTTGTCTGGTTCCAGAGTGGGTGTTATTGTATAGAATAGCTCTGTGAAAAGGAAGTGTATTGTGAGCTACATAAGTAATTAAAATTTTTCTAGTAGTCATGTTAAAAATTTGAATATTTGCCATGAATTTTATTAACATATTGTATTCCCCCACCCCCCATATACAAGATGTGGTATTTTAACATGTAGTCACTATACAAAAGGTTTTGAGATACTTGACTTTTTCTCCTGCTGAGCCTTTGGGAGGCTAGTGTATATTTTATAATTAGGGTACCCCTCTGTTTGGGTTAGTCATACTGCCGGTGGGTGGTAGCCACATACTGCTGCTAGCCGCTATGGCAAGTAGAAGTGTTAGAATAGCAGGCTCCAGGATGGCTTGCAGGAGCATTTTGGATATTGTTCCTGGAAAACTGTAATAGAAAGGTGCACGGAGTATCTGGTAATTTATGTACTTTCTATAATTTCTTAACTTTTTCAGGGTAAAATTACCAAAAGCCTCATTTCTCTGTGCACAGCCTGACTGGGGAAATACTAGCACTCTTTTAATATTAAAAATAACTTACTCTTTCTTGTCCTTTGTATCAAAAATTAAATTTTTTTTGTACTAGGAATTGAGCTCATGACCTTGTGCTTGCTAGGCAGGTGCCATGCTGCTGAACTATATTCCCGGCCCTAAATAACTTCTAAGACTACTACTTTTAGATTCATGATTTATTTTACTTTTAAATTTTTTAAAAAAATTTTTTTGTCTTTGAGACAGGGTCTCACTCTGCAGTTCAGGCTGGCCTTGAGCTCACTTTGTAGCCTGGGCTGGCCTTGAACTCCCAACATCCTCATGCCTCAGCCTCCTGAGTGCTGGGATTACAGGTGTGTGCCACCACACCTGGCTCATGATTTATTTTAGATGTCTGCCAGTTAAAGAGCCATTCAGAGTGATTTTAGGAGGAGTAAAAGAATTTGGTTTTTGTTAAGCAATTGGAGCTACAAAGTGGAAAAAATAAGGTCCTTTTCTTTCTAAGGTCTCACAGTAGTGTTGTAATCAGTTGATTATGTAAGAGAAATTTCTTCCAACCAAATGGGGAAAAGAAATACTCAACAGCCACATGGGTGCTTGGGTATGGTAACAGACCCTCAGGGAATATGTTTGTGTAGAGTTTTGAAGGCTTCTTTGGAGTGGGCTGGGGTGGCAAGTAGGCACAGCGTGTTTTGGCAGAGGGAGTGGAGTGTGTAAAGACAGACCTTGAAGGGCAGGTGTGTTGGGTGCACACAGGCTGCCTGCTCTGACGAGGCTGCGGTGAGTGGCTCTGATCTTAGATTGGAATTGTTCTTTTTAGAAGATACTCTCATTATTAAGGGAGTGTGTGAGGGGCAGATTTGAAAAACAGAAGGAAGCATGATGGTTATGTAAAGTTGAACAAGTAAGAATTGGTATCTGGTCAGAAGTGTTGGACAAGGGAGGAGTCAACAGTGCTACCTTTCTTTCCCATTCTGTTGAGAAAAAAATTTTTTAAGTTTCATTTTAGAGTTGTTGAGTGTATTTTTAGAAAATCTGACTGTGGAGCTCCACTAAGACTTGAAAATAAACATTTGGGGTTTACAGAAGAAGTCTGGGGCTGGTAAGCCAGAGTTGAGAATCATAGCATTTGCAAAAGGGAACTGGGGAACTGGAAGAGAAAGAACAGGATGTAATTCTAGGGGACTTCAGCAGTTGTAACTAGATGATACCCGTAGAGGTGCAGGACCCAAAATAGGAGAATGAGATCTAGAAATGGGAAGCCTAAGGAGAAGTCAGGAGAGAGTTACCACAAAACGGGAATTTAAGTAAGAGAGTGCTAAGGATATAAATTCCGCTAAGTACAAATAAGGCAAACTCTTAACAGTAAGGATTGAATTTCATGGATTATTGGCAGCCCCATTAAAGTAGCTTCAGGTCAGTGGTAGGTGCTGGCCGAGTCAAGACTGGTTTTTTTGTTGTTGTTGTTGTTTTGTTTTACATTAAACTACACTCAAGCTAGTAATGCTGTCTGTGTTTTTAAAGGACTGTAAATAACAAAAAGTCTGTAGTAGAGGGATTGCAATGGCTTTTAAAGCCTAAATATTTATTATCTAGCCCTTTGCAGAGAAAGTTGACTGGTTTGGCACAAGTGAAAGAATATATTACTGCTCTTTTTCAAGATGTTTGACAGGAAAGAAAGGAGGTAGAAAGTGCTTTTTGTCAGAGAGGAATAGAGAGAACTGAGCAAACCTCAACCACATGGGCTTGAGGGAATATTCGTAATGTATTTTAGGTGTAACACATTACCGTTACCTAAAATTGGAATGCACTTGGAGCACATCGATTTTCTTCTTACATTGTAGTATAACTGCTGTTTGTAATATAACTGCTATTAACTGGGTATTGGGCAAAGCGATATGTTTAGTTTTACATTTATTTTCTGTTTTTGATTATAGTAGAAATGTTAGAAGGCACCTTTCCTTCTTTATTAATCCTCTTTAGGAATAGTATCTATAAGAATATGGATTTTGAACCCTTTTACAACGGGAAATCAGTGTGAGTATAGGATTATCATATGAAGTACTGTATTCATCAGTATGTTGCTTCTGTCTTTAGTGTACTCTTATGTAAATCATTTTCCAGTGTTTAAAAAATACTCTATTGAATTTGAATAATCTGTTCATGGTTAAGCATTTTAATCTTATTAACATTAATATTTCTTAATTTTGTCTGTTACCCTATATTGTAATTTCCAAATACTGAATCCAAATAAAACATTTCTACATTGCCATCATTTCTCAGTTTTTTTCCCCTTGTTTGGTTCTTCACAGCAAGTATGTATGGAACATTAACTTAAATGCATGGTATTATCATTATCATTGTCATTGTTATTAGAGATAAGATTTGCTTATGGTCTCAACTATAGACACAAATAATTGTAAAACTACATGGTAAATTTTAATATGGTTAAATTTAGATTAAATACACTGCAGTATTTTTAGGGAGACCTTATTCTGACTGTCAGTTCGATGTGGGTAACTTCAAACTTCTGAAAGATTCATCATGCAAATTCCCTTTGAATGATTTTTAAACTGTCAGGTCAGAAAAATATTAAATTCTGAAGCAACAATTTCATTATTTTGCTGTTAATTACAGCAAAGGAAGATGCAAACTGCGCAGTGTGTGACAGCCCGGGAGACCTCTTAGATCAGTTCTTTTGTACTACTTGTGGTCAGCACTATCATGGAATGTGCCTGGATATAGCGGTCACTCCATTAAAACGTGCAGGTTGGCAATGTCCTGAGTGCAAAGTGTGCCAGAACTGCAAGTAAGTTTCATTTTCAACTCAAAGGTGTGTATCGAGTTTAAGAGAGACCATATCATGAAGTGCTTAAGGTTTATATAACATGATAAAAACTTGTTCGTTTTGCAGCTATGTTCATATAAACTTACTTCATGCCTTAAATTGTTGGATTTTACTAACCCTTCTATTATTTTGAAACAGGTGTAAACAAAGCTAATTTCAGTAATGTAAATTCCTCTTATTGGTTAAAAGGCTAATTTAAATGTACCAACAGTTTATAAATTAATGACATTAATGATTTAAACAGAAGAGTAAAACAGTTTTTCTTGAGATGAATTGATGAGGAGCTTTAATAGGAAAATGAAGTTCTAACTACAGAAATTAATTGCTAGAGTTGAAGCCCCCAAAATGTGTTTGAATTTCTATTGCAGGAAGAACAGTTTCTATTAAGACTACTGTTGTAATAAAATCTTTTTATCTATCTGGAAAGTCATCTACAATAGATTATAGTTAACCATAATTCTAAAATATGTTGTGTGGCATTTAAACATTTGTCAAAGGGTAATCTTTTCCTGTTTGCTGCATTCCATCCCTTGATCTTTTTTCCAAGTATTTTCTCTGACCCCTCATTCATGATTCTGTAACGAGGATAGTAGTTTGGGGATGTTACCGGCATCGTCAGCAATCTTAAAGCTGTTTATAGGCCGAGAGTTTTTGTGGTGAGGAAGAAATTATGCCCTGCATTGCCATCCTCAGTCTGCTTACCAGTTAATTAAGTGATAGTACTGAGCATCTATGTCAGAATAAATCGGACCATTTGCCTGCCTTTTTGGTAAAAATTAAGTAAAATATCAGCAGATCCTTACTTGGTGCCTTATATTTTTGCACTCCGTTTCTTGGGAAGGACTAAGAGAACTTGAATAGAGTGCCTGTCCTCCACGATCTTTCCATGGAGCTGAAGAGATATAACATGGAACTTTACATGTACAGTTGTTGAACGAGTGTAACTGACCCATCCCCTACATATCCTAGTTTTTCTTTTCCCCTCCTCTTGAATTAAATTCTTAGTATTTGAGAGTGGTTAATTGCCAAGAATTGAGACAACAATCATGTTGCAGGGCAGAGGCCCAATCTTTGGAGCAAAGAGTGTTTAGAGAATGCTTTAGGTTTTCAGCTGTAATTCTTAAGATGATTTTTCTTAGTGCATATGGTTTAGCAATTATTGCTTAATAAAGTCTAAGTTGAACTGGCATCATATTTAGTTTTTAAGGAATCTTTGCCGGTTATTCCTACTTTATACCTGAAACTCTCCGTAAGTCTAAGTTGTTAAGAGTTCTCACAGCTAGGCAACAGTAGCCTGAGTATAAATACAGATCTGATGCCAAATGTGACTCTTACTAGAGGACAGTGTCTCTCCAATTCACAGTATACCAGGATTTGTTCCTTTTGACGCATTATCACTTAGCAGTTACAGCCCCTTCCCCAACAAGGGGATGAATATTAGACTTTTGAAAAGTATAGATCAGTGATAGCGAACTTTTTAGAAACTTAAGCGCCCAAACTGCAACCCAAAACTCACTTATTTATCTCCAAGTTCCCACACTGCAATGACACCCGAATGCTTGGCTGCTGGCGTGGTCCTGTGGTAACGTGGGTTTGTGCCATTGGTTTGGCTTGGAGGAAAGCTTATTTATCTTGTCCTAACCTCTCCTCCTCTACAGGAATCTTAAAATGACTAAAGCAGGTTAAGCACAGGTGATCTTTAAGGATAGCTCTTTGGGTTCCTGTAGTAGGGGTTACCTCTACATTGTCTGTGCAGAGACAGATACTGAGGTGTCTGTGCATTGTGATATTTCCACAACTGATTCTTTTCGTGAATACTTGTGTTACAAAATGTAAAATTAAAGATATGGCATCATTAATGCTATCTTATTTTTTAGACAATCGGGAGAAGATAGCAAGATGCTAGTGTGTGATACGTGTGACAAAGGGTATCATACTTTTTGTCTTCAACCAGTTATGAAATCAGTACCAACCAATGGCTGGAAATGCAAAGTAAGTTGTTTGTTTTTTAAGAAACCTACCCTCTGTATGTTTTATGTAGAGAGAAAATTGGATATTTATTTAAATCTATACATTTCTATCAACTTCATTTAAAAATTTTTTTTTAATTTTTTTTGGCTTTTTTTGACAGAGTTTCACTATGCAGTTTGGGCCGGCCTTGAACTCACTTTTTTTTTTTTTTTTTTTTGGTACCGGGAATCGAACTCAGGACTTTGCGCTTGCCAGGCAGGCGCTTATGCCGCTGAGCTGCATCCCCGAACCCATTTTTTAGCCCAGGCTAGCCTCGAACTCGCAGCAATCCTCCTGCCTCAGCCTCCCAAGTGCTGGGATTACAGGTGTGAGCCACCATGCCTGGCTACAGTCAACTTTAAAAAATAGCTCTATTGATGTGTAGTTGGTACACAACAAACTATACATATTTAAAGCCTAAATATCATCTCTTGATAGGTGAAACTATCATCCCTTTCAACATAAGAGGTATTGTCATCATCCCCAATAGCATCCCCTGGTGCTGTTTGGGGATCTCTCCTTCCTAGCTATTGACACCTTTCTCTGGTTTTCCTAGGGAATCCCTTTTTCACTAAAGATTTAGTGTTCATATTTTAGCATTTTGTATAAATACCATCATATGGTATATGTTCTTTTAAAAAGTCTGGAGTATTTTATCAATTTTCTTGAGGTTTATCCACATTATTGTACTTATCAGTAGTGATTCCTTTTTATTACATGTGGTGTCAATGCCACAGTTTATTAAATCACCTGTTGGCAAACACTTGAGTTTACAATTTTGACTGTTACTAAAAGATGCTGTGACCTTTTAACTAACATTTTTATGGTGCTTCATGAACAAAATTAATTTTGCATTATTTATCAGTCTTCCCAAAAACCTTCTAATATATGTGGACACTGAAAGAGATATATTTCAGAAACTGTTAATTTGTAATTGGGAGGTAAAAGATATGTTTCTTTTTTATTTGGCACTGGAGATTGACTCCCAGGGCTTTACACATAAGACACAGTATTTGATGGAATAGCTCTTAGGTTCCTTACAGTTATTTTATAGCTATAGATAACTATTACACATGCATTAAGTATTTGGATTCGCATGTATAACTTTTGGGTTCCTCTTCCGCACTGGTCGTTTTAAGTAAGTGATTATTGACTCAGATATTTCTTTGTTAGATGCTGTCTGAAGTTCTTGGGTTTGAGATTTGGATAGGATCTATAGTTGTCCGTGTCCCCCGCACCTGTTAATTAATATATCAGGCTTTATACTTGGTAGGGTTTTTTTTTTTTTTTTTTTTTTTTTTTTTTTTTTTGAGATAAGGTCTTGCTGTATAGTTCAGGCCGGTCTTGAAGTCATGGTGATCTCCAGTCTCAGCCTTCCGCTACTGGGGCTACAGGCGTGTGTCACCGTGCCCACCTGGGAAACTTGTTAAGATCTATTTGCAGTTACTATTACTTTTTCCTGGTTATTCTTTTGGTCAGTGATTCCCCCTCCCTCTTCTCCCAGCTGCTTTTGTATGTGCATCTTGATCACCCTGAGATGTGCTGTGCTGGTCAGAAATTCGCTGAGGTTCTGTCGTGAGTTTCAGTAATTCCTGTAGGTTGGCTTACAGCTGTCTTTAGCAGAGTTTGTATAGCAGCAGTAAATGACAACAGATTTTAGGATATGTGTACACAGAAGCACAAAGTATTTGAATTTTTAAGTGAAGATGGAAGGTAAGAATCTTTAATTCTCAGCTAACTCAGTATATATTTTTTTCTTCTGGGAAGATTAGTATTTATTATTGCTTTCCCTTGAATGTTCACTAGAAGGTGGAATCAGTCCTAAAAGAATGCACTTCCTTTGAAACCCTTACAGGCCAATTAGCAAATTCTAGATTGAGAGTTTGTGAAGGCTTAATGGGTAAGGAAAGTACCCAGATTTACTTAACAGTATTTGTATCTGTAGAATAGGGATTAAAATTTGGATATCTTGTCTTAAAATGTAAGTGCCTTATTCTAACAGCTTGTCTTGTTCTTTGTGGCATCATGGTGTGTATATTTATTTGAGTAACAAGGACTTTCTCTAAATTATGAAGTACAGTATTTTTTGGTTTAGTTTTCATTTCAGTTAGGATGTTGGCTCCAAAAAACTCAGGACTCCAGACCCATAGTCTCTCTTTTCTCCCCAATGTTGACTTCAGTAAGGTTAATTTTAAAACAGTGCCAAACAGAATTTATAAAGTATAATGAATTAAAATATATTAATGTAACCTAACAAATAATTTTGCTTTGAACCTAAATTGCTGAGATTGGATCTAATTTATTTTCTCAGGCCTAGTGCAGTGCTTGAGCTTTTTCTTTAGTACTGCTGATGTAGAGAAGCCTTTTCCCTTGGAGGTGCTGGAGATTGAGTGCAGGGTCTCAGCCATGCGAGACAGGTACTTTACCAGGAAACCACAGGGAGTGTGTTTTACGTAAGGTTTTGTATAAAAATAGTATTGATAATACCATGCCCTTGTTTACTAGTTTGGGTTAACCAGCCCTGATGGTGCCAATAGGCGGTCTTCGAACATTACATTTAATAAAATGTTGCCCAGCTTTGTGAAGCCTGTATTCACAGGCTCACCATTGTGGCACAAATGAAATTTGTAGTAAGTGGGGTGTCAATCTTGTTATTTCCAAAATACTTAAGTTCCTCACTGTAACTTGCTAGTGTGCTGTCTTCAGAGTAACTTGGAGGTAAATACGTACAAGGCCAGGAACACGCTGCTTGCTCTCTGAGTTTACCGTGTGCTCTGTGGATTATGACGCTGGGGTGCATATACCTGTGCTATCCAGACATCTGCTTCCCGCCTTGATTTTCCTGTGTGGAAATCTTCCATCTCTGACAGCATTTGGGACTAACATAATAAATATAAATACAAATGCTAGATACAAAATCTGCATTGCAGTACTCTTGACAGTCAGTTAAATTTTATATTTTTAGATTAGTATTGCTATGAAAGATTTCAAGGTCGCAGGAAATTTCTCCCTGCAGCCTCACATTGTTGTCCCAAAGGCACAGAAACATGCTTCTGCAATACAACCTGTCCTCTCAGGCCTCGGTCTCCCCTTATGTTACCTCTGCAGGTGTCACGTTTGCGGCATCCTCCTCCACAGGTTAGGCTTCTCTGGCTGTTCCCTCGTGAGGCTGGAGAGCCGACCTCGCGGGGCAGCGACGCCTGGAGTCCTGCATCCCACACCCCCTGGAGAGGCGTGGTGCCCTGCTGGCCGACCCAGGTGGGCGTCTCTCTGCAGAACTGCCTCCAAGCGCCTTTTTGGTGAGGAGGGCACCTGGCTGCAGGTCCTGAGGGCTGGTAGGAGAGATGAAGAGGGTCTGCATCTGCGCCTCCTTCGCCTGGAGGACAGGCACCTGGTGCTGCAAGCAGCTTGTGGGGCTCTAAGGCGTGTGCAGCTAGTTCCCAAGGGGAGGCCAGATGGTGGGAGTTGTGGCCTGCGGCCATTTCACCTGGGGCACCCAGAGCCCTTCGGTAACTGTGCTCACGTGTGGCGCCGGGAGGCGGAGCCAGCGGGCTGAATGAAGAAGGCTGTCCAGGTCAGATTCTTCAGTTCCGTCCCTGGCCAAGTCTGAGGAGCAACACTTGCTGTTGGATCGGTATATTTATACTTCCGTATTCACTGAATGTAGTCATTTGTCTCTGCTTGCCTCTGTACTTTTTTTGTTTTTTGTCTTTTTGAGACAGGGTCTCCTGTGCAGTTCAGGCTGGCCTTGAGCTCACTTTGTAGCCCAGGCTAGCCTCTAACTCGCAACGATCCTCCTGCCTCAGCCTCCTGAGTACTGGGATTACAAGTGTGAGCCGCCACGCCTGCTTCTCTTTACTTTCAGAAATACGAAGTTCAAAATTAATTCATTTTCTTTTCCTACGGATTTTTAAGGCTATAAATATACCTTTGGTTGTAACTTTGGTTGCATCCAAATGTAGTATAATTATAACCTTTCTTTTTGAGTATTTGTAACTTTATATATGTATATCTCTGACCTAGTGCCTTTTTCTTTAATATGGATATACTGAAAGATGTTAATTTTAGCTTTAATTGCATTTAGAGAGTTTACCATATGTAGGTTTTAAAAAACAATTGCTTTGATATTGGCTTTTTAAAAATGTAGCATTTGTAATTTCACTGCTCAATGAAGAGGTTTTCAATCTTTTTTTTTTGGTCTTTGAGACAGGGTTTTGCTAGGCCATTCAGGCTGGTCTGGAACTCACAGCGATCCTCCTGCCTCAGCCAACCTGGTGCTGGGATTACAGGCGTGCGCCACCACAACCAGCTTTAATTATTTTTGATGTGTTAAATTGATTTAAAAATTGATAAAACCACTGTAATTGTTCCGATCTTTCCTTAGGAGGTCTTACCCTGCTTTTATTTTCATGGCTGCTACTTAGTAAAAAGGTAAAACCAGTGTTCATATAGTGTGCTTTTCTTTTAAAATTCTAAGTGGTACTTGGGGCTGAACCCAGTACTTTCACACTGAGCTATGTCCCAGCTTTTCTAAAACTTTGTTTTGAACAAGGCCTTGGTAAATTTCATAGGCTGGGTGTCAAATTGAGATCCCCTTGTCTCTGTCTCCCAGACTGCTGGAATTAGAGGCATGTACCACTACACTCAGCTTGCACTTTCTTCAGTATAAAATCACTCTTTCTCCTAGATAGCTTACCCCTTTGCTGGACCTGGTGGCGTGACTACACAGGCTCTTTTAACGTCTTTTTACTTTGGCTCCTTCTTTGTTGTTTTGAAGGTTTAATAGAGCTGTTTAGATTGTTGATTGTAATTGAAGTGCTTGGCTATTTTAAGGCAAACTTGTTCCTTTACTTTTCAATTTTTCTGTTCTTTTAACTTCCTGCACTGATTTGTAGTTCAGATCTTTATGAATGTTAGTTGTTTTAAATGTTGAAAATATAAATATTTTCTCCTTCCTCTATTCATTGCAGATACTTCTCTTT